GAATGATACAAATATTTTAAAGTTTGCTGATGCAATAACAAAACTTATTTTGATAAATTTCAGACAGGGCTAAAAAGTCATCCAAAGTAGTGAGTGTTAAAACATCATTGAGAAAACGAAGGGAGTGAGCCCTTGAACCCTCATGTGTGGACGAAACGTGTTTTACGATAACTATAGAATCGGATACACAAGAGGATACCCCTGCATTGCCTAGTGAACTGGAGATACCTTCAAGTTTATGTACAAGAGGAAGAACAGGAAGAGGAGCAAGAGGAACAGTTTTCACAATCCTTGTTACAACCCAGGAAGAAGGTAAGAATTATTTAATACATCAGCCCTTTATCCCTTTAGCTTGGATGTTTATACCATATTGTCTGTATAGGTTATAAAATGATGATGTTATGCCACCATTATGAGACCTTCATGTAGTTCAATATTATATGAATATTACCTGTTAGTATTTGGCATCTGTAACACTAACAAGTTGCAATGACATCTTATGGAAACATTTTTATAACTTCTATTTAATATGATTTATTATTTGATTTATTATCATTTTCATGTCTACAGGTCCGAAAAGAGACCCAGGCCATCATAGAGTCATCCCAGAGGCAACCCTCACATTTTGAGGTTGTAAAACTACAAAAACAAAACAAAAGACTCCTCCAGAGAATTGCAGAATTAGAGGTAAGGAATAGGGTAGGTTACCATCATAACTAACAGAGAAGAAATGTGTATTATTCAATAAAAATAAATACTCTTTTCCATGTCTCGCGCTAGATAGATAGTGGGTGATTTCTTTCCATTCAACAGTGAACAATTGACACTTCCTTTTCTTGTATTTTTGTTATTTCCAATTTGGCACTTGTGAGTACATATTTAAGTATATTATTTCAGGCTTATATGCATAAAAACATTGATATTTGATATTTTATTCTTCAGGCTCAAGTTGAAAAGAGTAACCAGAGTAGAAAGAGTAGAACAGTTTGAACCAACACAAACTTCTGTTGTAGTACCAATAAATGCCCCTGCTTTGGAGAAGATGTAAGTTTACAACATGTATTGCTTTAATTTGTTACTTCTAACATGTTTCTTAATATTTCCATATCAATGGTTTCAGTAAAACAAACAAACCATTGTAGAGAATATTCTGAAACCATATCATAACATATAACTTCATGTTATTTAAATTGTTAAATGATATAAGCTCACTGGCACTGCACATAAAATAACAGATTCAAGAGCTTAAATCATTCAATAATCTAGTTTATGAAATTAATTGAAATTGAAACCAATACAGTTCAATAAATTTAATTTTGTAATTTCTTAAGTATTAAGTGCATGTGATACATAAATTGATTGAAATAAAAACAAATGGCAGTTAAATAAAGGACCTTATACACCCTCCATTGGGATCTCCCCATGGGAAAAAATAATTCATCTGATTTTTCAAAATGAGTATTCTGCTTCAATTATTACATTTATATGCACACTAGTATCTTGTTGACCTATATTCAGCACTGCATTGATGTATAGGCCACTTATTAGGGTCATAATTCAATCATGAAGTGTAGAGGCATAGATTCCAAACCAGGAAGTATTTTTGTGTCTGTCAAAATCCATTTGCATCCTACGCATCCCTGCATCTTATCCAAATATGTTACTACATAATAAAATATAATAGTATAATCTTTGGTTTTACAAACTTGTATGATATTTGATAAGTGTAAAAGTTGTTTTTGGAGCATTTTTCTATAGCCATTTTGTAGGGAAAAAAATGATGAAAAAATAGGTAATCTTTTAATTTTAAGTATGACCTGAATCGATTGCAAACTTCATATTTGCACATTTGATGAGATAAACCATTTGTGTCATATTGTTAAATTATTAAGTCTGCAATCGATTCAGGTCATAGTGTATTTTTGGTATTTCTGTGATAATCAATGGAAACCAATGGCCTCTATTGGGATCTGCTGATATCCTCATGTTAAGTCAATGGTGCACAGCCCTATGTAAGTCAATACAACCTTACTGAACGAAATGATCCCTATCTCAGCTTATGTGTGCCCGAGCACTTTAATATTTTCCAAAGTATTATATGACATTTTATTCTTCATGTTACACCTAAGAATGATTCATTTTGACCATAGGGATATTTGCCAATAATCGCACCTCTTCCTTTTATTGTGTAATTTGTTACGTATGTAGTGCATGTGATACATAAAGTGATTGAAATAAAAACAAATGGCAGTTAAATAAATTTTATTGTGTAATTTGTTACGTATGTAGTGCATGTGATACATAAATTGATAGAATTAAAAACCAATACAGTTCATGTTGTACATAATTTAATTGAAATGCAAACCGATACAGTTCATTGTTGTTAGGTAGAAGGCATGTATTTTTAAATTTTCTATTTTTTCACAGGCAAGGTTCTATGCTGATGTGACTGTTCACTTCCTTGTATTTATACACCAAGTTTCAAGAAACATATCAACATCAGGTTGTATTGAGTAAAAGTAAGCTTAAGTTGTATTGAGTAAAAGTAAGCTTAAGTAGCATATAAAAGTAGTTTAATGAAGCACACATCACAATATTGTTTCACCATCAATGATACCTATGTCTTGAGATAAATTTTATCATCATTCATTCATTTTTGTGTCTGTTTATATTCCAGGGAACTAACTAATAAAGACATTGTTGATCAAAAGGCTCTTAGTCTTAGACAGCTAGCAGAATGTCGTATGGAAAAAGATGAAGCCCCTGATAAACCATCCCTTAATTTCTATCGATACAAATGTGACAAAATTTTGAAGGAATACAGATTGATTAAGGCTAAAGCTAGGAAAAAGAAAGATGATGAAATTATTGAAAGCTGGCTGAAAATTAAAGTGAATTTCCCACAAAAACACGAAGATACGCCCAAAACAAAAAAAATAGAAGCAGAGCTAGATTCAAAAGACAAGACTGTGCAAGAAGCACACCCTCCAAAAAGAAGTGGTGAAAAAAGATAAACTGTTGTCTGTACGAGGTGGGAAAAAGACAATAATAAATCAACAAAAGACTATTAAGCAGTTAATTAAAACAAATAAGAAACTTAGACAACAATTAGTTACTGAAAAAAAAAATCAAAAAGTTCAAGAAAATCCTTACTGTCAAAATCAACAAAACTAAATGCAGCAAGGAAAGATTTAAAGATGAAATATAACCAAGTGCGCTATTACCAAAACAAGGAGGAAAATACAATAAAACTAGAAGTACAGGAACTTAAAGAACATATTAGCCAGAAATGAAGAGCAAACAAGGGAAATTGTTGAGGCGACAGAAAACATGAATTATTTAGAGTTTCTGCTCCAAGACAATCAGGACAATACAATCCCTATATACGATGTCAACAAGAAGACATTTTCTTATAATGTAAGAGCTGTTGTCTATGAGTTACTTGACACCAATGTAAGTGCCTCTAGCGTTCCTGGAGTTATATCAGCAGTACTAAAACTAGTTGACAAAGTACCAAACAAGCTTCCAGCCCCTAGCACAATTCTGCAGTGGAGTTTGGACAGAATCGCAATATCGCAACTTCATTTGGTAGAGGCAATGAATGAGCAGGAAGACATCTGCCTCATGTATGATGAAACTACGAAATAAGGGGACAAATATATGGGGATGGAGGCTTCAACAAAGGAGGGAAACTTGTTCTTGTTAGGCCTCGGGGAGGTAGTGACAAAGGGAGCACAGGATACTTTAGAGTTTTTGCTAGGGCGCTTGAGAGACTTAGAGGAAATAAAAGGAGATGGTAGTAATGCCTCAGATAAGATAATATCAATAATCACATATACAATGAGCGATCGGGCTGCCACAAATGTTAAATTTAATAGTCTTTTAGAACAATACCGTGAAAACATTTTACCTCTTATGGACCAAAACTGGGAAAACTTTACTGACCAGCAAAAGCATTCAATGATTAACATAAACAATTTCTTCTGTGGACTTCACTCTTTAGTAAACTATGCCACCCTCAGGCAAAAAGTATTACTTGATCTAGAAAGGACTCAATTTGAAACACCTCCCAAAACATACTCAACTATCGTAAAGTCTGGTGAGCCTGCGACAGTTAGGGCCATCAGAACCTCTAGTAAGGCATTTTCATGTGGTGGGGATTAGAAATCCGGGCACTACCATGGTTTCTACACAAAGAACGAAGGCTGGCTGAAAGGGAAGGGTTTTTCCAAAATGCCCTTGAAACAGTTCCGGGGCGCAAGGTTTAACATTTTGTTTGAGAACGCTAGCGCAGTGTATTTTTTGAGGGGCAGAATTGCAGAATATATCAAGGAGCAGCAGCTACCCTGCGTGCAGAGTCTAGTTAAACTACACTCTGCCTAGTAGAGACCATATTACAATTTAGTAGCCCCGCCCCCACGACGGGTACCGGTGACAGTTTGGGTAATAAATCACTTTTGACCTACGCGCTGACCTTTCTTCCACCAATCAGCGAAGCATACGCCAAATGCGTTCTAATTAAATATGCGCATGTCATTGGTCAATTCCGGGCTCAACGATGACCGTCAAGCCCTTGGACTTATCTGCTCCCTCTTGACTTCTCCCCTGTGGAGTGTCCTTGAGGACAAAGCTGTGCACATTTTAGACATGAATGCGAACTATCAACACTTCGTTGACACAATCCAACGAGCTTCTCTAGATGTTGGATCTATCATGAATGGGGAATTGTCTCCATTTCCCCAATACATCAAGAGGAATGCCATATTTGAGGAGTTGATGAAAGATGGTGTGGATGTTGACCCCTTCTGCCAGACAGCCCTCAGTGTACTGCTACCAGCAATCCTTGAGATGGCCAGGAAGATTTACAAAGAACACCTGGAAGGAGGGGCTCATCAGAGTACAGAAAGAGTGAAAACAAAAGCTGCACCATTTTTGGGCAACTTGATCATCTTATGAGGTCAAAACCGAGTATTTCTAAACTTTCAGCAGAGGCTCACCTAATGTTAGCAAATAACAGGACGAAAGAGTGGCTCATGTCCAAAACTACCAAGGAAAGAGACAAGATAATCAAAAAAGCTTCTAGTGAAACATCAAAGAATAGGACAAAATTTAAAAAGAGGCATGAAGCCATAGTTGGGGCACAGGAGGCTGCTAGAGCCGAGAAGCTAAGGCTTGCTAATCTGGGTGAGGAAAGGAGATTACAAAAACTAGAAACAACCACCAGGGAAATGATTTTTCATGGCCTATGGCAGAGTGTAGACTCAGTTGATAATATCATTGAAACTTATCGGAATAAAACTCAGCAGAGAGAAGCACTAAAAACCCAAATAAGATTTAGACAGTTAGTGCTAAAGCAAGTAGCTGATAAAAACATAATGAGTTTTCAACTGAACAAAAGGCCAAAAACAATTGAACAGTTAACAGATAGTGTAAAACAACTCATTGTTTTGGCAAAGCCAACTGGCTGTCATGGTTGGAAAACGTATAAAGCATCGCCAGGTTGATGAGGAAACAAATGATACAACATGGTATTATGGGAAATGTATATCCCAGGTATTGTATTTCTAGTGAATGAAATAGTACTGGGAGTGGGAGGAATGGTTGACAACCTTTATTTGATGTGTGCTTCATTGAATCTATTAATTGTTTTTATATAACATCAAAACTAATGCATACAGATAAAAATCACTTTTAATGTACAAAAAATTAAAACAATTTACAGGGCTTGCATTAACGGCGTCCCGTACATGTTAAGGACTCAAAAATAATTTGGAGGACGCAAAAATTGAAAATATTTCCGTTTTTTGGATGCAAATTTTTTTTAGGTCAATACTACAATGTGTTTACAACGATACCTAACAAAAACAAATAATTATGATCTCTCACCTTTATTTGAATCATAAATAAGGCTCAACATGTTGAATATTTACAAATAATCATGATTCTCTCGAATTTTTTCGACTTTTGTTTATTTTAAGATTTGAAACCATGACACGCCACAGTTTTTCCTATTCAGAAACAAATATTAGGTTATTCATGAAATAAACTGTATTCATTGTCGAATGAACAAACATGCATTTATTCAGTCCGTACTTAACGTTTACTTCCGTTTTAAATTCGCGGCAAGAAATCAAAAACTGAAAGGTGTTTTGGTAAAAAATGCTTTTAAAATAAAGTTATACCTCAAAACAGGCTAGAAATAGGGGACACACTTTTTTTCAAAGGACACACTTTTTTAAAAAGAATTGCGTCCTTGGGACTCACAAATTTTCTAACTTAATGCAAGTGCTGAATTTAACTTGTTCAATGCTGTAAATTATTTTCATCCTTGACCTTATGAATAACAGTTTTGATGTACTACCTTTCAGGTACCTGAATTTCCGCAGTGGGCCAACTTTAAGTTTGATGAAAACGAGGCAATATATACCTACAATATAGCAGATGAGGAGGAGGACCTCAAAATTGTCGTAGAGTAGCTGTAGTAGAGAAGATCCCTTAGATTAGTTATTAGTTTTATTATAACTTGGGATAATCAAAGGAACCATTCCCTGATAGACTTGTGTGATCCAAATTCTCGTATTTACTGCTTGGAATAATCTTTAAAGGGAAGGACGTATTTGGAATTAAGGATTTGAGATGCTAACAAGGAATTCTTTATCACAAATATGATTAATAGAGCCAATCATGGACCATATTGTGCCATGGGGCTAATAGTTGGAAAAAAAAATTTCAAACAAATCGTTTTTTTACTGTAAAAAAACAATTTTCTTGTTTTAGTCATAAAAAGGTAAACCAATCATGCTAACTTCATGGGGTTTTCAGATTATTAATGCCTTTTTAGTCCTCTTTGAGAATATGAAAAAAATGACACCTATTGGTGACTCAGAAAATGACATCCTATGTCATGTGACATGTCCTTTTTGACAAAATCATTTTCCGATTTTTATCTTTAGACCCTTATAACTTTTAAATGGTTCAAGCTATCAATTTGGGAATGGTCTCATTGAATTTCTCAGCCAATTTTACATATACATGAATTTTTTCAGATTTTTTGGCTGAATTTTTAAAAACCTCCGTGGACCCTACTACAGTCTGTTACACTGCTTCAAAGGCAAGCAGTTAAACCTCAAATATAAGAAATCTAAATAATATTGTGCAATAATATATAGAAAAATATTTTCATATTGCACACGGATGACATTTGTATATGTTGGGTAGCCTTGAAGAAGGCTTTAGCATTTGTTGATTTTTAAAATTTGGATATTTTTTTCCAAATGTATTACCGGAAATCCGATAACGCATGCTCCAAAAAATTATTCGGAAATGCAAAATGGTAGAATGTAAAATATTTGTTTGCCCGGAAAGAAGTTCATTTTATGACTCTAGTCATTACTTAGGATATACTTTGACATAGCAGGACGGTAGAAACAGTGGTATTCTTTGAGTTGAGCATCGAAATATGACATAGTGAGTAGTATTTATCTTACGAATTACATGTAATTTATTGGATGTGAAATCGAGCATTTTCCAATGGGGATGATACAAGGCTTTACATTTGGAAAAAAATATCCAAATTTTAAAAATCAACAAATGCTAAAGCCTTCTTCAAGGCTAATGTTGGGTTGCTTGTAAATTGGCTCATAAAGTCTGTAACCTCTTATATTTTGATGCTTTTCTACAATGTTAATTCTCCAAAAAATAATATGGCGGACAGACCTCAAATTACAAGAGGGCACAGGCTTCTTGCACTAAACACTAAATAATCTGAAATATACAAATTTACTTCCTGCGAAAGCTATTTGGATTTTGATATAATAGCTTTCCCACGGAGCATTTGGACAGCTCATCGATTGTGACCTTTGAAATCGAATTAAGTCGATCAGCGGCTTACTTTTGGTCTCTAACTGTGTCTTACATCAGTATCATCAATCCGTGCAAGTATTAGAGCGCTGACATACTTCTTTTTCGATCAAGACTTGAAAATTGTTCATCGAGTGAATGTTTTTTAGACCTATTTCCAATATGGCGGTTTGCTAGGAGCGAGATACGCAATGAACAAAATGAATTTTGAGAATTAGTAAGGTTCGGACAACCTCCGGAAATGTACGAAAATGTCCGAGCAGAAAACGCCATATTGGAATTCGGCAGTAAAAACATTCACTCGACAAACAATTACAAGTCTTGATCGAAAAGGAAGTACCTCAGCACTCCAATACTTGCACAGAAGGATGATAATGATGTATAGCATAGTTAGAGAACAAAAGTAGGCCGCTGATCGACTTAATTCAATTTCAAAGGTCACAATCGACGAGCTGTCCACTTCTCCGTTTGAGAGCCATAAGTTTCAAAATCTAACATGGCTCTCGAAGTGAGTAAATACAGTTCGGGACATAAATAAATGACAGGTGAATTTGTTGAAGTGAGGATTTCCCATGTTAAAAATAAGAGAATTTTCAAGAGGCCATACATCAGTGGATGAGATTATACAAAATGTAAAATATACAAATTTTAAGGGATATGTATCTAGACAATATTGGAAATTATGGGCTTTCAGACGACCATGATTAGGAAATGGTGATCGAAAATCGACCTGTCATTTATTTTTGTCCCCAACTGTACAAATAGACTATATCCTATTTAGTCTGAATTATATTCAGACTGTAAGGCACCTATGTTAAAGTTTGGTACATGTAATTTTAAATATTTGTTTACATAGGAAGTGCTATTCAAAATGGCCGATTGGGGAAGATTAATTTGCACATTTTTACTTCAACTAGAGTCTAGCTTTATTTCCACTTGACAATATCCTGTGTTACTTTTTATTGCATTTAATTGTACCTTACGATTTAATTGAAATTTTGGAAATTTGGAAATTATGGGCTTTCAGACGACCATGATTAGGAAATGGTGATCGAAAATCGACCTGTCATTTATTTTTGTCCCCAACTGTACAAATAGACTATATCCTATTTAGTCTGAATTATATTCAGACTGTAAGGCACCTATGTTAAAGTTTGGTACATGTAATTTTAAATATTTGTTTACATAGGAAGTGCTATTCAAAATGGCCGATTGGGGAAGATTAATTTGCACATTTTTACTTCAACTAGAGTCTAGCTTTATTTCCACTTGACAATATCCTGTGTTACTTTTTATTGCATTTAATTGTACCTTACGATTTAATTGAAATTTTGTAAAGTTTATTTTATTGAAGAAATGGTTCCTCCAATTGATAATTTTGTGCAAAAAATTTCACTGCAATTTCCACAGGAAAGTAGTACATCATAACAGACTGACTTCTAGTCAGTCTGTTGGATACATACTAACAGTGTGGCAAATAAGAGGTCGCCAAACGCCAAAAACAGGGAGTGAAAAAAATTTGGCGATAGAAGTTGCGATCTATCTCGACAATTTTGGCGATGGATGTTAGAACTTCACAGTTTTTATCCCCGACATTCTTGAAAAATGAAGTTTCATAGTTGATCGTATTCCCATTCACAAAGCTTTTTATTCTACCTAAAACATGATCAGAATAGAAGAACATAAAGCCACCTACCTTAGAGAAGAACAATTTGAAGTAAAATAGCCAGATAATCATCAGTATTTAGAATGAAGGACCCACGGTACTATGCTCACACAGTTTGGAACCTTCAGAGGAATTTATATCCTGACTTTCAAACAAAAATATTGATTTGGATTTGTAGTCTCGAACTTTGAGAAACTTAGATAGCAAAGTTATGTGACCTAAGTTGCATAGACACCAACTACTAAAAGTTATTTGAAAGTTCTACTTCAACAAAGTGTCTAGTATTTACAGAAAAGTTGACTTTTTGACGTCAAAATCCGCAATTTCTCGGAAACCGGGCGAACTTGGGAAATGGCGATGATAGGTCAAATAGGCATTATGGATATGCATAAAATGAATGTGGATATGACTCAATCCGAATAGCAGTTTTAATTTGTGCGGCCAATGTTGACGGACGGACGGACGGACGGACCAACGGACGGACCAACGGACGGACGGACGGACCAACGGACGGACGGACGCCTGGTCAATCCCATAGGCTCACTGTGTGAGCCAAAAAAACACTGAAAAATCATCTAAATTTTGCCGTGAGCAGGCAGGAAGTTAGCCTACTCAGAGGTAACAATTTTGGTATTGTATCTGTATTGATCGCACTGCC